ACTAAGGTAAATCCAGAATCAGTTCACTAAAGTCAGCAGAATTACTATTGATGAACAGTGATTTGAATGTGTGCAGCATTTGAACATACATTTTTGGAGATAATGGCCAGCAGCTCTGCAATCACATTTGCCTCATCAGCCTCAGTTCCATCACATTTGGTCCCATGGATTTGTACATGTCTAGCTTTTCTATCTTGTCTCTAACTTGTTTTGTTACTTTTGGCTGCTCACCTCTCCCCTCAAACTGTGCAGCTAGGTACAGTAATTTGGGAGCTGTTCTTGCCTGTGAAGACTGAGGTAAAAAGTGCATTGAGTACTTCAGCCTTCTATGCATCATCTGTCATTACGTTGCCTTTCACATTCAGTAGGGGACCCACACTTTCCCTGATAGGACTACAATTCATGCTGCTGAGGCATTACAGTTTCATAGTTTCTAGGGTCGGAAGGGACCTGAGCAGATCATCTAGTCCGCCCCCCTGCCATGGCAGGAAGAGCACTGGGGTCAAATGACCCCAGGAAGGTGGTCATCCAACCTCCTCTTAAAAACCCCCAGGGTGGGAGCCTGCACCACCTCACTTGGAAGCTGGTTCCAGATTCTAGCCGCCCTGACCGTGAAGTAGCGCCTCCTGAAGTCCAACTTAAACCTTCCCTCCGCCAGCTTGTGACCATTGTTCCTGGTCACTCCTTGCGGCGCTCGGGGGAACAGGGACTCCCCCAGCGCCTGCTGATCCCCCCTAACCAGTTTATAACAGGCCACAAGATCCCCCCTCAGCCTTCTCTTTTGAAGGCTGAACAGGTTCAGGTCCCGCAACCTTTCCTCATAGGACCTACCCTGCTGTCCCTTGATCATACGAGTGGCCCTCCTCTGGACCCTCTCGATGCTGTCCACATCCCTCTTAAAGTGCGGCGCCCAGAACTGGACGCAGTACTCCAGCTGCGGCCTGACCAGTGCCGCATAGAGGGGGAGGATCACCTCCTTGGACCTGCTCGAGATGCATCTGTGGATGCACGACAAGGTGCAGTTGGCCTTCCTAGCCGCCTCCCCACATTGCCGACTCATGTTCATCTTGGAGTCAATAATGACTCCCAGATCCTTTTCCACCTCCGTGCTGACAAGAGGGGAGTTCCCCAGCCTGTATGTATGGTGCCGATTGTTCCTCCCCAGGTGCATCACCTTACACTTGTCTGTGTTAAACCCCATCCTGTTCTCCTCCGCCCATCCTTGTAACCTATCTAGGTCCAACTGTAGCCTGTTGCTCCCCTCTATTGTGCCCACATCCCCCCACATCTTAGTGTCATCAGCAAACTTGAACAGGGTGCTTTGCACCCCCTCATCCAAATCACTGATGAAGATGTTGAACAGGGCGGGCCCAAGGACCGAGCCCTGTGGGACCCCACTTCCCACGTCCTTCCAGGTCGAGAAGGACCCATCCACTACCACCCTCTGGGTGCGACTCTCTAACCAGTTGGCGACCCATTGGACTGTATGGGTGTCTACGCCACAGTCCCCCAGCTTCCTAATGAGAATGGGGTGAGAGACAGTATCAAAAGCCTTCCTGAAGTCTAGGAAAACTATATCCACTGCCACCCCTGCATCCAATGATTTAGTGACCTGGTCGTAAAAGGCCACCAGGTTGGTCTGACAGGACCTGCCGCTGATGAACCCATGCTGGTTGCCCCTGAGCATGCAGTTCCCTGCTGGCCCCTCCTGGATGTGTGCCAGAATAATTTTCTCGAACAGCTTGCCCAGGATCGAGGTAAGGCTGACTGGCCTGTAGTTCCCCGGGTCCTCTTTCCTCCCCTTTTTGAAGATGGGAACCACGTTGGCCCTCTTCCAGTCCTCCGGCACCTCTCCAGAGCACCACGAGTGTTCATAAAGCCGTGCCAGGGGACTTGCAATGACCCCAGGGAGTTCCTTCAGGACTCTAGGGTGAAGATCATCCGGGCCGGCTGACTTAAAAATGTCCAGCCCCTCCAGAAGCTCCCTAACTAAATCCTCACTCACTCTAGGCCCAGGTGAGCCTCCCCCGGGGCCCAAAGGGGGCCCAGCAGGGAGGTGGCAGTTCTGGTCCTTACTGAGGAAGACAGAAGCAAAGAAGTTATTACATATGTTATTGAATGAAGTATATGCAAAGAAAGCTTTATATTTCTTTGAAAATTAACTTACAAAACAATGCCCATTACAATATGTGCAAGTAAGAACTGTGAAATTCAGTGAAAATAGATAAAATGTATTTCTTGCACAGAATGCATGATATTTTAATTAGAAGACAAGTGAAAGAGCAAGCCCTGTGTGTGGCAAACTGTAAAGAATGATAAGAAAAGATAGACAAGAAACAAAGAATTACTAGCAAGAGAAAACAGTTGGGATAGGACATTAGAGAGTAAGAAGGGGAAGGGCATGAAGACTGAAAACATATTTTTAAGAGTTCTGATAACCATTAAAAATTTACCTATAAAATATACTTCCCCTGAGAAATTTTTGCACATATCACGCTTTGACATTGGAGCACATATTTCTCACCTGAAGCAACAACAGTGCTTGCCCATAATGTATTTTCTATGCTAAGGCTTTCATGAACAGCTGGATCACTGTCTTCCTGTTAAAGATAAAAAAAAAAAAAAACTGTTAAAGTCAAGATTAATCCACTAAAGATCTTAACTAGAGATCTGAGAACAATGCCAAATCATGCACAAAAGCTTGACATAATGCTAACTCATGAGATGGTTACACCTCTGTACCTCCGGATAAATTGCTGTGCTTTAGTTTCACTGTATATGCATGATTATATGTAGGAGAGAGGCCATCTTCTGTAAAAATGAAAGTGAAATATTGATATTTGATACACACATCAGATCTGTGCAGGTAGCTTCTTAGCTTACAGTCCAATGTGGGGGCTCTACAAACATGGATTAGATTGCAGAATAATGAGCTAAGTACATAATTACAGGAGAATCAGAAGCAATACTAAATACTGAAGGAGAGCAGCAATGTTCAGTATGATCATGTTAGTCAAATTTTATTACTAAAATATTTTTAATTACCGTTTTCAACATTTCCTTCATGACTCCAGTGACAGCACAGCAGATTTAGGTAGTTTAAAATTCTTAGTGCTTACACTTTTGCCTAACAAAACTACATATTTAAAGCCTTCTAATAGGAAGAGTAATAAGGTCTACAGATTCATTACAAATGGTACTTTAGTCTGCTGGCAGTTTCCTGTCAGTTGAAGGAATTTCTACAGTCAGAATAATTTAAATTAATTTTCTTATATTATACATTCTGTTAAATATTGGGAAGGGGTAGAATGGGGGATTTTTTTTCTGCTGTACAGCATGGTCAATTCCACTTAATGACAACAAAACTAAATTGTTGGTTATCAACTTGCATCTCTATTTTGGATGATCCATTCATCTCTATGAATGCATTATTACTCAAGGAAAGGAAAATGACAGGTTAGTACAGATATGCTTTCCTAGTCATCTTTTTGAGAAGGTCCACAGTTCTCTTACAATGGGATTCTCAACATATTTCCAAGGTGAAGCAGGATCATCCTTTACATACAGACAATCTATAAACAAGGTAGATTGTCTATAATTACCTGCATTTTCTCCCACATATTAAGACATGAAGAAGCCAAGGAAGTGGGCTTAGCTTAGGGTGACTGAGAATTTCTAACCAATGGCCATCTATTAGAATTCAGTACAGGAGACATGATTATCTTGAGATTGTCAGTGCTCTCAAAGATCAGACTTTGATGATTAACCACTAGGGCTGTGCAGAGCAGGTAATATTCAATTCGACAGCCATGTCGAATATTAAACCGGGTCCCGCTTTGATTTGCTGTCCGCTTCGAGTCAAAGC